TGCATATCTACATGCGCATCTTATTACACATATCCCAGATTTTTTTTGCGCAAAAATGAAGGATGTTCGTAATTATCTCGCATACCGCACTTAGAATAAAAACCTCAGCGGCCGTGAACCTGGAATCGTACGGGCTAAATTACAAATTGATTAGCCTAACGAGGTATTAATAATCGTGTAGGTACGAGCGGGGGGCAAAGGGATTAATTAACAATAAAATTTCGTTGCGCAACGAAAACCCGTCCGATTTATAATGTAGGTAATTCAGGTTATTAGACAATGACCTCACTTGTAAACAAGAAAGTGTAAATGGCGACAATAAAAAAATATGGAGCATGAAGAGATCGTATAACCTACGCAATGTCACGGACGTCGCAACCTGATTAATTACGCAACTTTGCCGATTTGCACGCAACTTTTCGGATAAATTTCATTTCTAATAAATTAATTTAATGAGGCGCGCCAAGTATTTAGGTCATATAGATGCAGAAAACTGTAATTCAATGACAAACATTCGTGGACAGGTGCACCGATTTCGTCAAAAAAAAAGCAACATTAAAACAGTAATCTGAACAGTTATTGTTTCCTGGGCGTTAGTCGTTCCGCAAATTTTTCGAGGTTATAAAATGCGATTTCGTCATTTGTAACAAGAAATTGTATTATGTATTTTATTGTAATGTGTGGGAAGTTCCATTCATTTCGGTGACGAAAGTTACGCAAAAATGAGTACCACCCCATCAATAGCCTAACGATTAATAGTTTTTTGCATTAAAAAAACTATTAGTTTAACAATTACAAATAAAACTGAATTACGAACGGTCATTAATTTTAGCACTTTGGTCAAAAATAGTTACCAGGTTACGCAATTTGGATTTGTATGATTTTTTTTCCAAAAAACGTCGACTTAATAGACAAAAAACTCAAAAAAAGAACTGGAAAAGCATGCGCACATTAATCGTCAAGATTTTTCTTGGTTCAGGTGCCAGAGCTATAAGCTACCGAATTCAAAAGGAACAAACCAAATATATTGAAAACTGTAGGAGTTGTTAAGGCCTCGGGTGGACGGACAGATAGATGGACGGATGGACACAGAAAGTGGCTACTAAAAATTAAAAATATAACAAGGTATTGATGCATACAATACTTCTGCAGTGGCTTCCCGGCTAATGTGAATTATTACTTAAAGCATTCAACACCAGCCACTCGTTTGGCAATACGCTTTACAAATTATTAGAAAAACAAACTCTCCGTTAAAAAATTCTACGGGAGCAAATTTTTCAAGAGAGAATTTTCCGGCGGCGAATTGTTCTGTGTGCGGTTTAAGAGACTCGGTGCTTCAATCAACTTCCGAAAATTCCAAAGAATTTATTACACAAATTTTGACATCTGAAATTAATATTGGACACCAATACTTAAATCTGAAAAGAAAACTATCTAGGCAGCACGTAGTTTACACCACAATATTTAGGCTGGTTTTTCTTCAAAAGTATTTTCGGAACCTGGACCCGAAAACCATCAGCATTCAAAAATGTTCGAGTCAATTATGTAATCGGTATTCCGTACAGCAAAAGATGTCGTCAATTATAAAGGTAATCGCGTCCCACCTAATTTCCAGCCGTGTGCTTGGTAGGGCTGTAACAATACCTAAAAGGTTAACTATCGACCCTATAAATACGCATGAAAATATACACCCTCCCAGTAATTTCTTATGCGAATGCAATCTCATTTACTATCGTCATGAACTTTGAAGGAGTGTAACTTCTGCTGTACGGCAAACGGTTTGGTTGTTAGCGCATTTTCCAACTGGTGTTGGAAGGCTACTTTCTCCGCCAAGAGAAAACTTGACGATTAATTTGCGCATGCGTAGACTGTGCAACACCAACTTTCTTTGAAATGTTAACGAAAGATGCTTCTAGTAAAGGCAAACATATCGCATATTGTAAACACCAGGTGTGCACATGCGCAATGCTAACGCTCTTATTCGTAGAGATGTTTTTTGGAATTTTAACCACATATGCTTCTAGTAAAAGTCAGTATATCGCATATTGTTAAAATCAGATGTGCGCATGCGCAATGCCAACGTCCTTATTTACGGAGACATGTTTAAATTTTAACCATAGATGCTTTCAGTAAAAAAAAAAGATAACCCATATAACTATGGTCTTGGTGAAAGTACTGATCAATGCATGGAGAATGAACTTTAGGGCTAAAACCTTTTTTTAATTTTTTTTTGATTGAGGACGTTTAAAAGGATTCACTATCAACCCTTTAAATGCGCTTGAAAAAATACTTACACCCTCGCGCTTTTAACACTACGTAATTTTTTTATGTCGTCGTGAAGTTTAAAGGGACTTATGCATTACGTCAATTAATTCTGGTTCTGTGATTGAATATGTTTAAAAGGTTCACTATCGACCCTTTAAATGTGCATGAAAATTTACACCCTATCAGTTCGAATATTACGTAATTTTCTATGAAAATTCCAGTAAAAGAAAGAAAAGATGATAATTAAACAGGAGAAATGTCTAAAATATGAATAATTTCCAGGATTATTTACAGTATTGTAACGTAAATTTAATTACGAACAATTAACTATTAATGAATTCTTGTACACAAATTTATAACATGTACACTTATCACATACGGGCTCCAACCTTACTAATAATGACTTTGGCATCTATGTTGGAACTGACATTAAATACGCTTCAATTTTTTTATACGGCAAACGGAGTTTCTAGACATATCACGGACATTCTCGAAAATTCCTGAATACCTGAGAAGGCGACATATCGCATTTTTCGAAAAGAGCGCGTCACATTCGCCTTCGTTCCTTATCGCCGGTGACAAATCTTTTGTAACCCCTCGACGACGGCTGCTGGTGCCACGATGTCTGGGATACTCGCTACAGTATCATTAAGAGAGTTTGTTGTATTAAGATCAAAAATGTATAAGATAAACCTATACTAAAGAAACAATAATATTCTCTAGACCTTTCGAATATTCGCGCAAAAATCCCACTTCGCATTTTCGCGTATAAAATTTCCCAAAATTGGATCAGGGATATTCTCAACCTATACAACTTGCACCAAAGGAGATCCAAGAAAACTCCACCGCGATTGAAATTAGACCGTATTTATAAGAATGCTTTATTTCCTACTCGTAATCTTTTACTTTTCCTTGCAAGTAAATCCTCGTCCTCCCCTTTCCGACGACACAGTTTTGAAAGCTGTAGAAGATAGGAAAAAACTGAAAAATCGTCAAGTTAGTAATCCACGGTTGGGGATGGCGCCCAGATGTCGCCGAACCCACATCATGTAGTCTATCTAGGATAGGAAGGGGGAAACGAATGTGTTGTAAAATCACCACTCACCACTATTTACCCCCTAACCTAAGCCACACTCACCCCAGCTACAAAAATGAAACAGGTTTAACCTCTACTTGTGATACATGATTGGCAAGTATCAGTAATTAGCTAATTAAGAAGTAACAATTTTAAAAACAAACATACTCTACTTGTGAGATATATACCCGTTTTGTAAGTTTTTAAATTATCACTCTGTATAGGTATGTAGTCTCCAGCAGATTCGTCCACGTAAGCGCATTTTCAGAATATTCGCCTGCTCCAAGGAAATTTTTTTCGTTACCTATGGTCCCTATGGATGCTCCCCTTTGGCGGGTGGGAGAATAACTTCAATATCATAGATCAGTATTGTACGAAAATCTCATTCCCGGAAAATTCCGCCCTAGGAAAACTCGTCTTGTTGGTAACGTTCATCCTCAAAATTTCAGTATTGATCACGATATAATTATATTTATTGTAGGAAACTCTCTTTCCAGTAGAATTCGACTTCAGGGAAACTCTCCTTTCGTAAAATTGGCACTGATGACGTTCACTCTCCAAACATACGACACAGGAATATTCGCCATCCATCAAATTCACTCCGAAAATTAGCTAATTATTTTTTTTTAATGGAAATTTCAGATTAGGAAAATTCACCTCCCGAAAAACTGACGCTCGTACCCAAGATTTCTTAAATCTTCTTGATTGAAAAAGATTTCTTAGTTCATCCTTTAATGACATAGAGGCCACTAAAGAATGGTAGGTGTCTTTATCACAGTTTTGGTAATTTTTTATATAAATGTGGCCAAAAGGAAAGTTTGGAGAGAGGTTAAAAGCTTGGCAATTATTGCAAGTTTATATTATTGCTGTCCGACAGAAAACCTACAAAGCAAATCTAGCATTTAGTTTTGCACGCAGTCATTTATTATTGAAAGAAAGTGTATCAAGGGTTATGAACTTGTGTTGTATTTAAAACAATTGGTTAATATTTATTCAAATTGGTTTCTTCTCGCTTCAATATCAGGTTGAACTAACATTAGTACATTTTTTGTCCATCCCATTCTCTACTAATGTTAAAAGGGCACCGGAATAAATTAGAATACCGTAATTAAAAAAAACACGAACGTAAAAACAATAAATTTAAAATAATGAATATTGGGGGGCCATATTTTCACTGGTACACATATTAAAACGAATGGAATGCCTATGCCCCATTACCATAAAATATAATTATGACGGAATTATCACGTAATTACCCTCATTACGCGGACAATTAATCACGAGGAGGATCTTATTATTTTCGAGGTGACATTTTTCTCAACGTCCTAAGGTCATAGGTGAAATGGGGAACGATACTTTTTGTTGGTCTCTTACGCATCTGTGCTGCATTAATTTCCATAAACCTACTTCTGTATCATATTCATAAATTTTTTTTGTACCGTTATCGTAGTACGAGGTTTACGTAAGCGCGGGTAAATTATCTCATAGTTCCATGAGGAATTTATGGCAGAAGAGAGGGTGCAATAAAACACAAATTATGTGGAATTGGCGACTACTTTACACACCGTCATTTGTGGCAGTAAATTTTGGGTTTTATTGTACACCAACTGCCTGGGATTCTTGACGAATACATACCAAGTCTAATTATTTTAGTGTCGGTCCTACGGAATCTGTCCATATGACACTCATTTATTGCCACAACACACAATTTTGTATTTTAACTTATTTATACTTCGCATGTTCATGCCTTTTGTCAATTGTTTCCATATGTTTGTGATAATTTACAGAAATAGTTAAGTCTTCAATTACCATTTGTGTTTATGCGTTTGTCAGTCACGCTTACACTTTTTCTTTGTTATTGTTTCCATGTCTGCAATGTAAATTACTGTTGTTAATAATGCCATTGTTTAGCAAATGGTAATTACATATTTTTTTATTGTTCAATGTCTGCTTTGATAATAATTAATTGCAACTTCATACATTGGCAACATATTGAGAAAATACAAGAATAATTATTAATAAATATAAAGTAATTGAAAATAGAAAGTATTTATGTTTTGGGTCTATTTTTGAGGGGAAAATACAGAAGAACTGGATTTTTAATCAGATTGAGATCGAGAGTTTTTTCCAGGAGGCAACCAAACTGGAGTGAATTAAAAAAATAACGCGATCTTCTACGGGCTTGCATTTGCTGCCAGCCAGCCGGCCGGCAAATACATTTGCAAAAATGCGTGCCCCATTCTTGTGTGGCCGTTCTGTAATTATAGGGGGATGAATTAGGAATCTTTTTCAGAGCCTAATTAGGACTGTTCTCAAGAATCTTTTAAAAATCTTTAATACTTCCATCTCAATTACGAATATAATTTTCGGGGCGAATCGATGGGTGTTCCTCTGAGGCATGTTTTGAGGGCGAACATTGCGAGCGTCAATTTATCTGAAAACGCGTTTTCCTAGGGTACAATTTTCTAGGAATGTGATTTTCGTACAATAATGATCTAAATGAAATTGAAGTTTCCTTCCCATCCGCCACCAAGGGGAACTTCCATAAGGAGAAATTTTCCTTGGAGCTAGCTTCTTGGGTGGTGAATATTCTGAAAATGGGTTTAGGTGGAGGGTTTAGAGGACTACACGAATTGTTATTTATTAATTTGGTAATTATTGATACACTCCATACAATTATTTTTTAGTGAACGTGAATTTCCCCTGGGGTGAATTTCCTTGGGTGCGAACATTGCGAGGGAGAGGTTTCATGATGGATTTTCCTAGAAAATGTTGTACTCGCGCATTTCGAATCATGTGTTTCGAGAGTACTTGCTGTGTGCAATGACAAATAGTCACTAAGCCATCCCCAAAACACCTGTCCAGCTAGTTCATACAAAAGAACCTTAAAATTTAGTATTTTTTCTTGTACACGCCCGGCATTCACTGTAAAAAATCCTAATGTTGACCTAAAGTTTTATTAATTTGAAAGACAAAGTAACCTCGATTAACTTCCAAAGAATTAACTAAACAAATTACATAATTTTTGGGCACGAATAAAAACATCTAACATGAGAACTTAATCTGGGTCGCACTTTGGGTTCGATTAAACATACAATTAATTAATTGACAAGACGAACATTTATTCCGCAAAACATAAAAGAAATTAGAACAGCAGTGCTGGAAGAAGAAAGCGATTTAGAGCCCGTTTTTACACACAGTTCGACAGACAATTAAATAAAGAAATCTTAATTACTTACATTTTTCTATAATGCAACAAATCTGGTTGAATTAGATCACAAATTTGGTGGCTTTTCGGACTTAGAACACTTTTAGTATTGCCGAATGACAAACCTTGCCGAAAAGCTTCATTAAGACTGCTTGATGCGTAATAAAAAATCAGGCGCACTCCAATACCAAATTTTAAAAAAAAGATTAAACATCGTCTCTCGTATTTAATGGATCCACCGCTTCCACCAAAAAAGTGAACTCATTTATAAATTTTTACATAAACCGCCAATCATAATTGGACTTCGACAGAACGCGTCCCCACTTGCGCCGTGAAACGCGGATGTCTTCGTATCAGAACCACATGTGCATTAATTAATTTCGCCTAACAATAATACTTCTTATCGCAAACGACCAGATAAAACCTTTTATACATCGCGCAAAATTCGACCAGATATCTTAAATTCTAGCACCTTATCGAAATTAAACAATTCAAAAAAGCGATAAAATGCTAAAAACCCACCAGAGTTACCCGATTCGTGATCGGCACAAAGATGTCGTTCTTATTTTAATGACACCGTGATATTAATAAATCTGCGACTGAAAAATAACCACAGATCTTTTTAAAATGAAAATTACAGATTAATATAAATTTAAAAAAAATAAAAACGTGCCCCACCCCTCATTATATAGGGAACGACCAACATTAAAGAGAAATTTATTCAATAAACATTTTCACTTTCACGATATATTTGAAAAAAAAGACCTCCAAGGGTAAACCGAACATCTAATATCAATTATTTTTAGGTATAACCGAAAAGAAGTATCAAACTTCATTGTTTTTATAGTAGATTCCTTCCATACTTATACAAACATGCATCCAATAAGCTCTCTTAATGATACTGTAGCGACCGTCCCAGACATCGGGGCGCCACCAGCCGCCAGCGAGGGGAATTAAAGATAAGTCGCCGACGATAAGGAACGAAAACGGATGTGACGCGTTCTTTTCGCTAATGACCGTGATCTTTTTTCGGTTTGTTATAATTATAAGCAAATTGATGCGTGTTAATGCCAAATGAACTTTAAAAACGGCGAAGGGTTTTATTTGTACGCGGATTTAAAGAGATTCTTATAAACCACGGAATCATAATCAACCAAAGTCAAACAAGTTTTTAGCGCATTTTTGCAAAAGGTGATTTTTAATCCCACTTTGGTTTACTGGCTGGCTGGCTGGCTGGCAACAAATGCGGGCCCGTAGAGGGACGTAGAAAGACGAATGTGCATGTACCTACCGAAGTTGTGTAATAAACAACTTTAGGGACGTGGCTACTTGATGTTAGGTTGGCGACTTCTGGGCGCCATCCCCGAGCGTGTTATTAATGATGATTTTTCAAGTTCTTGAAAAGGGATGTTTGACGGTAGTTCATAAGACCTATTGAAGAATTTTGCAACTCCATTAACAGTTAAAGTAGGTGTATCCAGAGTGGTATCACATCCAATTTTGTTTTTAGCGTAACACATAACGAAGTTAAGGTAACGCTTATGTGCTCGATTTTCCGTCGCCTGTCTGTGTGTCTGTCTGTTCCATCGAGATCTCGGCCCCTCGGCTACCTAGAGACTTCGGATTTTCGCTGATAACTGCTATTATATTTGCCCATTACTCACCATTTACGTGGAAACACCCACGAGTGGGTTTTGAAACATTTTTTTTCTTACGAGCGAAATTAACCACCTTTTTCGAGGCGCGCGTTTTGGAAGGGTAGTCGACTTTTGGCGCTCAAAAGTATCGAATTGCGAGTGAACAGGAAGTCGGAAGTGAGGCCCGCCAAAGGGAATGTGATGGCTTCCGACAAGATCTTACTGATTGTGGAGTCAAAAACGCCAGGCGCAAATTACCGGTGAACGGGAGGTTGGAAGCCGGGCCGGTATTACCAAAGGGAATGTGCTTGCCCCCGGTAAGATTATTGATGGTGGGATCAAAACTTCAAACGCGAATTGCGAGTGAACGAGACGTCGCGTCGGAAGTGGGTACTGACAAAGGGAATGTGGCGGCCTTTGACAAGGTCTTATTGATTGAGGGTTCGAAATTGGCCAATAAAATACTGATCTGCTACACAAAAATGCGCTGGAATCCCTTGGATCTCACACGAGAACTTTGACAATTTTATATTATTTACCACCCCTATTCTTTTTACACTTGAACTTCCAATTACTTTTGCTATTTCTTTTTCATCATACTCAAATGGATTCTCCCCATCGATCTGAGATAGCGTTTTGTTGTTTCTTACGAATCTTATTAATTGCCACCTTTTTGACCACCCTCCATTTTTTGACAGAAATACACGTTTTGAAGAACCAGGATTAGGTACACATATTCTTAAGACATAAAAGGAAGGGTTTCAAAGTTTGTGTCTTTCAAGTCAAAATTACACAATTTTAGTGACTCGCACTTGCACAAAACATTTCATAATTTGGGATTGTAATTACAAGCTAAATTCGGATTTAGATTATATCCACTTCAGTTTCTTTGAGTCGTTTTGATGGGTTTACCTTTTTTGTGGTGGCGGTCGTGATTTTGTTTCCTCTGCATTCCAAAACGGCAAAACTTCTTTCACAGGTCAGAGAAAACTTTGTCGACTAATTTTAGAGGATTTTAAAGGTGACCGTGCCGATATTCACTTTTCGCACAATGGGGAAGGGGGGTTGCGAGGACTGCATTAGTTTGAACGGGACCACTTTTTAGATTTATCCAAGATCTCTAGAGCCTCACATCCAAAGATGTAACGATGACACTTCAAATTGGTTTTCATAGTTAATCCACCGAAAGGGGCGACGTGATGTAATCCCATCTTAAAATTACCAAGAAACCTTTCGAGGTCGTCCCTCTAATCTAAATATGCATCACGTCAAGCCACATTGTATTTTTCAATAATAACGCAATGACGTCTTGTTCTTTTACCGACTCCTCTCGAACATCACTAAGGCTGTCATTTTAGAATTTAATCTTTTCCATCCATCAAACGGCCTGGAAGACGCTTTTTAATGGATTTTTTTTCTAACCGTATGGCATATAAATTATCTCCATTACTTTAAAAGGTCAATAGTGCAGTAGAGCGGGATTTGTCACTCAAGAGTTTGCCGATCGATAGTGGCGATTAAAAGATCAGAGGAGAATGGAATCTTAACGGTAGATTCTGTTAAATAGCCGCCGATATCAAGCTTAGACAAAGATTAATTGAACTTCGATTTTAATGGTTTAGCGATTACTTCTGTATTTTATTATTATCTTTGAAATAATGAAGTAATTACTGTAACCGTTGCAACTGGATTCCTGCTACTGCACTTTCAGCTCAACGGTGATAATGCGAGCAATTATGGACGAAAAGTCATCTAACTGCCGATTTAATTAGTGGCCTTGCAAAGTTCGTATGTATGCAAATTACCGTCCGGAACGGATACAATGGATGGCTGCATGGGTATGCGTTTTGTTGGTACACAATGTGTCCAAAAAGCATGACGTGTTGCCCTGTCAATCATGGTACAATAAAATTAACAGTTTTCGGCCGTGTCAGATTCTCATCTCGCCAAAATTGCGTCAGGATAACGTAGTAAATTCGAGTTTGCATGTGAAATAAATTCCGATTTGCCATTGCATTGCGGGGA